TGAGCCCCCCCGCCACTGCTCTTTATTGGTTCGCTTCGTGCTCTAGAAGACCAGCTGGGCCAAGCTGTCAGTGCCCGGCCAGCGCACGGTAGGTGCAAAGGCAGACACTGCTGTTCTGTGGGAGCTCAGGGTCTGCAGCTGGTGTTAGAGGAAGGAAGACAGGGCTGATAGGAGCTCGCACAACAGGTGGCACAGCTCTTTTGCCATTGTGTGCCTGGCAGGAAATGAGACCGCCGGGCACTCTCGCAGGGGTGAACTTGAGAGACAGAATGTGGGCCTTTGGGCTAAGTGCAGTTCTGTCTGCCTGACTCACCAAGGGAACGTGGGCCCAGACAGCTTTCTCCACGGAGGCTCCCATTACAAGTACACACAAGGTCAGACGTGAGGCTGAGGCCTTCAGTGTGAGGCCCTTTCTCAAAAACAAAACAGAACAACAAAAACCCCACCACCACCCCCAAAAGTAAATAAACTAACCAGGCCCTGGATAACTGTCACTCACTCGTTCTCCCCACCTCCCCCCATTTTGCGCAGACTACATAGCCTTGCCCCTTTAAATCCGGAGTGCGCCTGTGGTTTCCGCTCCCTACGGTCAAGGGGCGTGCCTGGCGATCATTGGCCGAGCTGCGTAGTTTTGAGCACGTGTGCTCACGAGTTGTGCTCTCGGATTGGAGCGAGGGCTTGCTTATCCGGCGTGCCTTTCGGGTCACCTGCCGGGACGGGCCTCGGCGTTCGGTTCCCGGGGCTCGCACGTTCCATTCCCAGGCGGGTCCTGGGCCTTCAGGGTCCTGCTCGCTGCGTCCTCGGGTCGGTGCGCTGACGCCGGGACGCAGGTACGGCTGCAGCGTGCGGGGAGGCCCGGGGTCTGCCAGCCCTGGGCATGGCACGCGTCCCTATGCAGGTGGAGGCGTGGCTTGTGGTCACACCGCGGTGGGAGGGAGGACTTGGGGACTGAAGACCTGAGTTCGAATCCTAGCGTTGGCCCTTCCCGACTTGGGTATGGCACATGAATTCCCTGGCCTCAGTGACTTCCTCCTTGAATGGTTTAAGAGTCTTTTGTATGTGGTTACACGTTTCTGCTCAACCCTGATCCAGGGCAATCAATTTGGGCCCGAGGAGGACAGGTAACAACCAGGCTATGAAGAGTCAGATTATTTTGTTGTTTTTCTTTGTTTTGAGCAGGATCTTTATTATGTAGCTCCGGCTCCCTTACAGCCTTGAACTCACAGAGATCTGACTACTTCTGCCTCCTGTGTCCTGTGATTAAATGCCTGCACCACCACCCTGGGCCTGGGCTGGTTATTTTTAACCACCTATTTTATTCCCTCCTTCCCGGAGTTTGAATACAAGGCCCCTCCAAGTTCAGGGCTGAGTCCCATTTTAGCCAGGTGATGGAGTGTAAACCCCCTCCATTTTTGAAAGTGGGTTCCTGGTATAAGGGCAGTGGTAGACAGTAATAAAGAAACAGAAACCATTTTTTGCTTGTGATGGACCCCTGGCTGGCCTTTGACCTTGCTGGGCCCAGGACAGGATCTTATTTTTAGTCTGGGAGAGTAGACAGGTGTCCCAACTGAGTCACAAAGTGCTTCAGGCTTCAGCTACTCCAGGCATCTTGTCATTTGGCAACGGGGTCCCCAGGCACCCATGGCCCTGAAGAGAGGGCTGAGGCCCTTGGTGCCCCAGCAGGCAATGACTTTCTGCTTTAGTGGACTGGGCCTTGGAAAATTTCTGTTTCCTTTTCCAGGTTCTTGATCGTATCCCACTTTCATTACTGGTGCCATTGTACAGAAAAAAGAAAAAAAAAAAAAAAGCCCTTAGCTATAAGCCTTTCTCCTTCTTCCGATCCCCAACATTGTTCCAAGTCCAAGGGGCCTGGGCAGCCACTTACGATTTAATGGGATATTTAGGGTTACTTTGCTCACCACTGGACCATGGGGCCTTTATCCTTGACTTGTACACGCCCTCAGCCTGGCCTCTGATGTGATTACTGCCTCTGGAAGTTTTACTATCAAGATGGTAACATGTGTGTGTGTGTGTGTGTGTGTGTGTGTGTGTGTGTGTGCCTGAATTTGCTGAGGGTCTGTCAAAGGTCTGACAGGCAAGCATCCAGGCAGACTTCCTGGAAACCTACATTGCGGACCTTTGACTCCTCTTGACAGTCTGTCACACAGGGTGGCTGTTTTGGGTGGGTCAGATTAGGAGTCTGAGAACCTGACCAGGAGGCATATGGAAAATAGAAATATTCAGGCTTTGAGGATGGGTGAGTCTGGAGGCTGTGTTGTGAATCCCAGACTGTAGCACTCTGCTGACTTGGCAGCTTGTGTCTTTATAGACTAAGGGTGGTGATGGTGAGCCCTGTTTTTCAAGATCTTGACAGATGTCAGAGACCTTGGAGAGTGAAGCTGGGAAAGAGGCTTAGAGCCTTCCTATTTGAGCCCCCTTCCAGAGGGGGGAGCTTGTGGGTTTGAGATAGGGGCCTGGAAGTTCCCCTACTTCCTTCTAAGAAACCCATTGAACAGCCCCTTTCTCAGGAAACCATCTGCACATGTTGGCCCGACCAGTCTGGCTGCCCTCTCCCTCAGCAGCACACCCCTGCTTCTCTTGCAGGTGACCATGGCTGAGTTCTCACAGAAGCAGAGGAAGCAGCGTGGCAGCGAAGGCCTGGGCAGTGTGGTGGACTTCCTCCTGGCTAATGCTCGTTTGGTGCTAGGTGTGGGCGGGGCTGCAGTGCTGGGCATTGCCACCCTGGCTGTAAAGCGGGTAAGGCCAGGCCTGGCTGGCAAGGCCTGCCTGAGACCTCCACAGGAGGAGGTGGGACCGGGGAGCTAGGGGATGGTGGGACCCTTTTTGTTGTTTTGTTTTTGAAGACAGAGTTTCTCTTTGTAGCCCTGGATGTCTAGGAACTCAATCGGTAAGACCAGGCTGGCCTGGAATTCACAGAGATCCTTCTCCTCTGCCTCCCAAGTTCTGGGATAAAAGGCGTGCGCCACCATTGCCCTGCAGTGGTGGGACATTTTGAGGCAAGACTGGAACAACGTGGGCCCCCTGCTTTTCCACCCTAGCTTTGTGGTGTGCTTTCCCCC